CATCTACTGTAGACTTCTTCAACCTGCAGGCATTCGCACCTGGATGGAGTCGCGGTTGCCCTTCGTAGGAAATTTTGGGATGATTGATCCAACAAGAATCCAACAGAATCTAGAACAGGAGGGACTCAAGACACTTTCTATAGCATCACTTTCTACAGTTCCTGATCTTTTCCTGGTTTACACTTCCTGATCTTCCTGCTTTACATCGACTTTTCTGAGCCTCTGAGGATCGAGCTGGGTGTCCCAGTGCTGCTGATTGCAGAGCTCGTGGCCCCTGAGCCGACAGGGATGGACAACCGGTGCGATCCGTTTTTTACATGCCTCCGATTTTGGTGGGACGTAGGAATAAGTAGGAAGGGGTTGGGCATGGCTAGGCGGCTAGGCAACACAAGCCAAAAATTGAAAGAACTTAAGGAGCAGAAGGAGAGGGACTGAGCTGATCCGCTTTGATTCATCACAGGGATCTTAGTTTCTTTTTGGAAGGGGTGACCCTTCCCGGATGCATCAAACTCGTCCAGCTGCCAGTCCGTTTGGTTAACTTGAGATCCATTAAGTAGAAAACCATATAGATCACCCATCCACCCCCATCCACGAAGAGATTGAGACTTCCAATGTTCCGCACGCACATGGTGCAGGATTTGTCTCTTTGCCCTTTGTAGGAATGGGGTTTGGATGGTCAAAAGGCCTTTGGAGGAAGGGCGATGACTAGGAGCCCTATCAGGTCCTTCGATGGTCCAACTCCAAGAATTTCGAGCAGGACAACTCCAGTCTTGAGTGAGGGTTGGAGTACTTGGAGACAACTCCATCAGTCTCGACTCAGGACAACTCCAACCCTGAGAGCTTCTTTGCACCGCCTCAGCCTACCACCCTGCGCCTCACCTTGGGCACCGGCAACGCAGAGCATCTCGGCCGAAGATGCACCAAGGAGTTGGTGTGTCTTTTTGGGAACTGGACGAAGTAGTCTTAGCGCCAAACGCTGTTCCAGTATGTTCCAGTCATAGGATGCTATATATATATATATCTGCAGAATTTAGGTGAATTTAGGAATTTCCCAGATCTTGAAGCTTTTTCTAGCCTTCTGGCTAATGATCAAACATGACAGAAGAAACCGGCGTCACCGGTCGGTCCCCGCGCTCCGCGTATATTGGAGCGTCTGAACCGAGGGTAAGGAGTCGGAGAAGACGTTGCTTGCGGACCGTGGACGGGTGGACCTTTCGGGGAAAGCCCTATACAAAGTGGGTCAGATTCTATCAAGAATGCACCGGCCTGGGGTTTTCTTTGCCGGGATGTTCTTCAGCATCGGTTTTGGGCCAAACACACCGTGGAACTCGGACAGAGTCCTCTCTTTTTCACAGGCCCTCAATGCCGTCTCCACCTTTTTACGCTAAATTCACAGGACAGATATCAGTGGCATATGGTCTCCGCATTTTCAAGTCGGCCATAACCCGTTTTGGGTTGGGGTTGGTGGTGCACTTCGGCCCAGACCAGTCTGGCCTTTGGACTCCTTTTTTGTTTGACCAACTAAAAACATGTTTTTTCAGCGGGCTGGGCAGGGTGGCAGACTGGCCACCTTAGGATGAACCTCACCTTGTCGGAGGAGTACAAGCGTGATGGGCAGCTTGTCATCTTCGGTTCCGTTAAACCGTGGTGTGAAACCGCGGTTGGGCGCGTCAGACGTGGCAGACCTGTTCCCAGACCGGGGCACGGTGAGACATCGCGAGAAAAGAAACACACATAGGTCACAAATAGAAATGATCTCAGGATATGCATACGTTTCTATTGATCGTGTTATTTGAAGACGTTGTCGAATCACAGATTGGGGTACCTGAAATGTATATACAATTCCAGTATCATTGTCGGAGGATAAGACCATGAAATCCCAAGAACCAAGCATACCAGGGCGTGACGAACCGTGACAGACCGTGATTGGTCTATTTTTCCCCTTCAAAATGAGGTCATTGTCGGACTCCAGCGTGACAACCCGTGACGGGCCGTGATTTGGGATCGTTGGTTTTGTGGTTTTTGGGTTCTGGTATGATCTCGTTTTTTGAGGTCGGACCTCACAGGGTGAGGTCGGAGAGCCCAGAAGACACAACCCCAAATGTTAGCATATAGAGCTAACTTTCGATCCTCAGGGATATAAACCAATTTGTTTAAACCACATGACCAGAGAACTCCAGTCGGTTCTGTGGCTTGGGCTGGGAATTGGATCGGTCCGTGAAACCTGATACGCCGAAAGCACCAGATTGCTTCGATGTTTTGCACATCGGAGGGGCGCCCCACAGGATGGTCAGACTGATTCCCCAAATGACAAAAACAGCTGTTTCGGGTGCGATGTTTTGGGAGCTTGCGGCGGACTTACGTGGGAAAGAGCTGCCCGCAACTTGCAACCGGTCAAAAACCGATAAAGATGAAGATCAGAGGGAAACCGGGGAAGGTTCCGTTTTTGAGTTTAGCGACTGAAATGAGCACTGGCATGCGGCCGATTTCTTACCTGCAGCATGCAGGTTTTGTTGGCCGGTGACTCTGGGAGATGCCGAAATATTTGACATTGATTTGAAGGCGCCATGTGCGGTGTTGGAGTGCCGCCAATGAACAGGATTTGAGCAGGTGGGTTTGATTTTTGAGCCTTGAGTCCTAGGGTGAGTGCGTGTTTCCGCCCTGGTCGATGGAGGCACGACCTCGGTCGATGGCGGCTCTTGCCGTTGAAACGGCTCGTTTGCAGGACATGATGGGTGGCTCTTCGGCACCGGAGGTCAGGACCAGCACAGGGCAGGCGGGATCCTAAGCTGATGGCAGTTGGGAGTCTAGAATAGAATCAGAACCAAGACAGCGGATCTCTTTGGGCTTTCCTATCTCCAGGTCACGGACCTTTGATATCGTGCAGCACCCAACTGGCAAGGAGACACCAAACAGCAAAAAACATCACTAACACTTGCACCCCGCGAAGTGCAGCCAAGAAGTTGGATGATGTCTCCCAGTCTCCCGACCCAGTCTCCACATCGAACCACCCCGGTGCTGTTTTGGATCTCACACTCCACGGTAGCACACAGGGCCGGCGGCGGCGGAAGCCCAGCCAACTCAGCAGCGGTTCGGATCGCGAGACTCGAGCTGTCCGGGCGCCCAGTCGGGCGTAGGGGGCGATAGGATGGTCAGCATGTGGTCCTAGGGCCTCCCACTTTTGGGTGAATGGACACCGAATCACCGTTAGGGGGCGATGTTTGCAAATCCTTTGAGGGGGCATTGGTATACAACCTTGTGTGTTCCCAAATGCAATTAGCCATTTCGCCGGAGGACTGGCTCGTGGATCGTGGGAGGATGGTGAAACGTTTCGGACTGCCACGACTTGTGCCGCTCAGTGGGGTGGTTTGGGGGGTCCGGCATATATGAAAATATACTAAATATATGTGTATAATATAGTATAATACATTATATATTCCATACATGCCTGGTTTTGCGTTGGGTTTGGGTCATTCACTTGCGCAGTCAGGAAGGTTTGTGCGTTGTCGAGGGTAGATTGCTAAAGCCCAGTCCCCTTGCCTGGTGTCTGTGCAAAGCCCTGGGGTACCCACTCACCCCTGATTGGTTTCTGAATGGCTGGTTAGTGGCCAGAGTTCAGACACATACTGTAATTATTGGAAAGACCCAAATGTATTTCCAACTGCTGCACCATCGAAAAAGAGTGCGCCTGCTGTTTTGAGTGGAAGGCTCAGAAGCGATCTGAAACTTACAACATCTTACAACCATAATTTGCTACTTGTACCTTGCTTGCCTTCTTGCAGCCATCAAGCCAATCACGACATTATTCAAGAAAACTTTGGGCCAACAGCAGCATTTGGACATCATTTCTCACTTACCAAACCACAAAGTGACCACATGCTCTGAACACTCTTTCTTTCCACAGCCTCATGTTCAGGATGTTCCACAAGCGACTCCAGTCGTGAAGAGCGCACGTCAAGTGCACACCCTTGTCCATTTAATGTTCTGTCCCTGTGGTGAACCCCCTTCTGGGGAATCATACGGTCGATCTTCTTTTTCTTTTTTGGTCCGGGTTCCTTTAAAACAAATCCAAGTATGGAGTGTGTATGGACTGTTTGGGTTTCTTCCTCGGCTCAGGTGCAAAACCCGCCGCCCGAGCCGCCCAGTCACGAAGTCACCAGTTGCTGTCGCCAGTCATAGGCCTTGGCCAGCGCCACGGACGGACGCGGAGCGTCGGAGAACTGGGACGGAGAAGCCGAAAGATGCGAAAGAAAGGAAGTCCAAGTTGCCAGGGTGGAGCTAGGGTCCATGGGCATAGTCTTGATTGCTTTTCTGGGTGGGATTGGAGGGGGAGCCATCTGGAGTGCAAGTATGAAATTGCAAAACAAAGCAATAAGTCGGGCTGATGCCTCTTGAGTGTGGTATAAGATCTACAACAGCTTAAGTTCAGAAAAACATGATGGCACGAAGCATCCCGGGCATGAACTGTCAGGCCGCAGCTGAGCCAATGCGTTTCACCTGAAGACGTCCTCGGTGCATGTCGCTGACAGCAGCTCAGTAGTTCTTAGGTTCTGGTTTCGTTGGCCTCTGCCATCAAGCTGCCACGTGCCGGACGCCACAAATTCGGAACGAAAAGACGAGGGCGAAGATGTGCCAAACATGATGGATGGTGAGGAGAGGTTTGTGCGGAAGATAGGAACTCCTAAAAGACTCGGATTACTGGCTCTCGTCTGCGGTAGTAGGTCCCCGCTTCTGTTTGGTGTGGCGTTCTTGTCCCATGATAGATATGTCACGGTCGCAACATGTTCGAAGCCTGAGGTGGATTTGAGGTGGCCGAACACGTTGGATGCAACCTGATGCAACCGACCTGCGTGCTTTCACCGCCATTTTCCTCCATTTCGCCTTCCCCAACTCCCAACCCAAAGTAACCCTCACGTACTACCCCCTGGCATTGGCGGATGAGGACGGTATTTTCCACCCCATGCATCCAGTGCTCAGATGTGCTCGAGCATGGCCTGGAGGTGCAGGTGGACGAACTGGAGTTACTGGAGTTCCAGCCCGGGCCTCAGAAGAACTTTTGACTTTCGAACCAGCTCGCAATGTCATGGGGGCAGTCCTGGGGGCATGGCATTTGATATCGTGTGCGGATGTATTGCCGAACTCTTTTTGATGTTTTGTGGGGTGCCGAGTGTCCCAAACAGCAAAGTACATTCGAAAAGAAGACGTTCTGATCTCGGCCCAGCAGTGTGTTTGTCGTTGTGGTTTAGATGTTCGTTTGGTTGCAGTTGAGGATTTGAAGGTTGCATGCAAACAGCTTGACCAACAATGCCACTCTACTTTTCATTTGAACATGGCTCGCTTAAGAGATGTTGACCGGGTAAACCCGCACAGAGCGCCACTACCCAGCTTGCTGCGATGACGTTGCAAAGCATGTTTTGTTAGTGTGTGTCCTCTCAGACACTCCATTTATGGAATACTCCCGAGTATATACCTATTCTAAAAAAGTGTATATGTGACATGTGGGTGTTTTAATTACCGCCTTCGTACTGAAAAACACAAACCTAGGTAAATTTGGGTCGTTTCTTTTTTCATTAGGTACCCACCCACTAGAAGGCCCACCAATCGTGTTCTCACTAGCACCGTTCCCCAATGGCATAGAGCCACGCAAACGCAGTTTCCACCGAGGTCGCTCAAAACCGCATGGCACGGTGACATAACCCTTCGATCTCTTAATGTTGTTTTTACTCTGATGAAGAGCTTACATGCAAAGAATATCGCGAAGAATATCGAATAATCTCTAATTGTTTTGCAAAGGGCAAGAGGAAGACCCTTCGATTTGGAGGTTAATACGTGAACAGATACGTGAACTTACTTATGTAAAGCATTGTATTTGAAGCTATCACTATAGGTCACTAGGCGACTTTTCGGCTTCAGGTGTCCACCTTTGCGGGCCCCTTAGTAACAAATGGGGACCCCTCATTAACCAAACGACACCCTGAAACCACCAAGCATGGAGCGTCTGAGCATGACTCCTTTCGCACGATGCAAGACCATCGGGACTTGCTGAGACCCGGATGACTCGAGAGACAATGAGAGACCACCAAAGCCCAAGCCAAAGTAGATAAGACCAAGTCCAATTTTGGCCATTTCTTTTGGAACAAATGAACCATCCTCGAATCTTTTCGCTGTATGTAACTCTCTCTCTCTCTCCGGCTCGCAGCGACTCGTGTGGCAACGTGAGGCCGCCCCACTTCACCCTGAGGGTGCGCTGTGGCGGTGGACTCTATGCGCCGAGCCCGGTCCGCTGGTCGTCGGTCTCTTTTCCATGGCCATGCCGTGGTTGTTCGTCGATGAAGAGCGAGGGGGCTTTTTGGGAAGACGCCAGGCGGAAACACCTGATTTTCTTCGGTGCTGTTTTTTTTTGAGCCGGAAGAAGTAGCCTTCAACAATATTTGTCCGTCGTCACTCAGTCAGTCAACCGTTAGTGAGAGAGTCAGAGAGTGACAGACAGTGGTGGAACAGCTTCCATCTACCCCGGGGGGTCGGTGTTTGAAACAAAATATGCAATACGATGGAGGGCAAGTACGTATATAAAACGATGGAAAGTGCACAGGATTGATACAAGCAAGTGTCCTGCACAGTTTCATTGCTAAGGGCTCAACAAGTGCGTCCTTTCACCTGCCATGGCCAGTTGGTTCAGTTGGAGAGTTTTCATCACGGCTCACGGTCGGTAGACAAGTTGAAAAAATGAGTGAAACCGTTGGAAATTAGACGCAATATCATTTGATGAACGTTGTCATTAGTGCATTGTTGTATTGAACATGATTGAACCCTGCGAGTCAGTGGTTGCCCTTCGCGTCCCCTCCATTGAGCCAGCACCCTCTTGTTGTCCACCCGGATCACTGTTCACATCGATTCGCCTCGAGGTGCGAACGCTGGGACATGACCTGGCCCAAGCAGTGTGGGGCTCAGTGGATCTATATAGCTTGTGGTAGTTTTAATTTTTGGTGGCATTCTGAGCAGAAAAAGCCGTGCCGGAAGTGCAGATTTCGTGGCTTCTGAACCAACACAGAACTTTGGGTTTTATAGCTTGTTCACAAGTGTTGGTTCAGTTCTTTTATGTTCTTTTGCTGCTTTCAAGGTTTCCGCTCTTTGTGGCGGTAGATCCACTGGTAAGCTCTATTCCACAGCCAGGCATGCTTCGCCCATTGACTTTGGCATGCTTCGTCCATTGACTCTTCACACGCTTGCGTATTTCACAGTCACGCAGGCCTGAGCAGACTATCTCTGCACAAGTTTCTTGTGTCGGCCGAGCGCCACCTGCAACAAGTTTCAAATCAGCTGGGGCCACAATCATACACACAGCCACCAAAAAATTGAACCTGCCAACCTCTTGTTTGCGCCCAAGTGTCGAGCACCACGCGACCCGGCTGCACCATGCTGCTGCGGTGTCCACGACGTTCTGTGGCGCACTCCATAAACTAATGAAGGCACGAAAGAACGTCACTTCCCCTCCAGCCCCCCCACATGTAACTGAACACCAACATGTTGGTCAACAAACGTGAAACAAAACAGTCAGCACCAAAAAAAACACGTGCACGCCTTCGGGGGGCACGTATGGCCGTGATGACGACGGCCGAGACATAATATGACATTCCGTGATTACTATTGCCTTCGTCGTAGGTCGTTGTTTTTTGTTTTTTTCTGACGTGACGTCGTTGAGGTATATGTATATGCTGCAATGACATGCAGAGTGGCTGCACAGCAGCTTTTGTTTGGGGTGAGCTGAGAAAGAGTCCTGCCCAGTCAGGAACGATTCATCTTTAAATCTCTGTGATTTGTGGGAGGTTTGGCCCACTCACACGGAACAGTTGGAACACGCCTTGCCACGAGGGGTGATTTTTCAAGCTAGACCCAATGTCTTTTGGAGAATGTAGGACCTGACGTTTGTGGTGGTTCATTCAATGTGTGTTTCTTTGACTACACTTTTAGCTCTGCCGACCAAAGTTGTTCTCTCTCTTTCTCTCTCTCTCTTACACCGCAGAAAGCGAGATAGAAGCTAGATAAAGTGGACCCACACAACTTAACCACAAAAAACATATGACAAACATTAAACATTGACAAACCATCAAACCATCTATCCTGGACTCCCTGGACCTGTCCTTTCATCAGTTACTGGACCCGTCCAGGACCGCCAAGTGAGTTTTGCAAGAAATTCCCTTCGGCTCCAGGTCGGCACTGTCGGCCATGTCACGCCAGTGGCTCAGTGCCACGCGCGGAACCAGAACCCATCGATGTTGGGTGGGTAGACCATCACTCGCAGGATTCTGAACGAAACATCACACCAACAGAGCCAAGAAAAACGGAAGGATCTGAAGGCACCAGAGACGCAGAGTGCACCAAAGACTACATCATGTCTAAAGCATGACCCAGTGAGACCTTTTGTACAACTTCGACCATGCATTTTTGACTCCGGCGCTCGGAGCGTTCGAGCCCCTGGGGAGCCCCCCGCTGTCAGAGGTCCTTGCGACGGATCGCCGTGGGCGAGTTTCGGGAGGCGTGGCCACTGGCGAAGCGCCGATGGATCGGGTGAGAGCCGAGACACCTGGAGTTCCGCCGCGGAGGAGTGGGCGAGATGCCCCAAATAAGAAGAGAACGAGGTCCAACGGCATTTGTTGGGCGTCCAGAGTCCAGGTTGATATGTTGTTCTAAATTCCCAAGGTAGCAAATGTTCCATACCTGGACCACCCGGCTTCCCAACAAAGACGCGATATTTCAAAACGCCGGACCAAGTGCCATGCTGGATCATTTGGAGAGTGGCAGGCTGTGGGAGTGCACCTTTTTAGAAGATTGAATGTGATTGAATATATTTACGAAAGCCAGCCGTAGCCTAGGCTGAACGTCTGAATAGCGAACGAAGTGAGTATTTGGGGGTCTGGGCGTTGCAAACTGAGGAGTTCTGGAAGGTCAAAAATCAGAAGTTATTGGGGAAAACCGGCCAAAAGTGGGTGGACGTGAGTTGAGCAAAATTGTAAGTTTTGAGGAGGCTGTAGATGCAAGTGGTGCAATCAGACGGGGGCTGTCATGATGTAAAGGATGCAATGGCATGGGTGAAGAAGAAGGAAAGATAAGGAAGGAACAAGCAAGAAGAAGAAGAAAGGTAAAAGAACGAGGAAGAAGGAAAGAAGGTACTGTAGAAGAAGGGTCATGCAAGATGCAGGAAAGTTTGGTGCTGGAATTGACACGTTGTGAGTGTTTGCTGCTTATTCGTATCTGTTTATTGCATTTAGCTTTAGAGGAGGAAGAAGAAGGAAGAGACAAGAGGAAGGGGAAAGAACGAAAAAGAAGGACAGAAGCAGGAAGAAGGGTCCTGCAGGATGCAGGGAAGCCGGGTACTGGAATGGACACGTCGTGATTGTTTTGGGCGGACACGTAACCTTGAACTGGCCGTTTGGCCAACGAGTTCATCAGGGGAGCAGCCTCGTCAAACTCATGCATCCATAGTGCAAGCCGGGCGCTGCTGAGCGAAGTCAAGGACACTGGAACAGAGCGGTAATGCCATGCCTCGACCAAGATGTTCGTTCATCATGAAGCATAATACCATTTGTACTGGCCATGTAGACCATTACAGGGTCCATTTGTACCATTTATATCTTGCAAGATGTCTTGCCCATCATTGCCTTTCAATTGCACGTGCTTGTCCGCCTGTCCTTGGGAAGCCTCTTCGCTGAAGCCTCAAAACCTTCAAGAAAAGAATTCGCTCGCACATGGGTCTTTGCGGGTGTGCTTTCCAACCGCCCCATCGGCCGAAAACATGTACATACAAGAATTTCTGAAGGTCCACAAACATTACGTCCCAAACCAACATGTATTCGTGGGCTGACGGCCCTTTCCACAACGAACCCACTGTGTTTACTGCCGCGCTTTGTCCGAAGCTACAAGGAGAAAGCAGGAAGTAGAAGGAGAAGGTGGGCACACGAAGAAAGTCAAGCAGACACGACGGATGCAGTAGGGGCCCGTCACACATACGCGGTGTATGCACTAGTTTTGTGGCTTACAGCATCTAGTGTCAAGTTGCTCTTGGGTCTGGCCCTCTTGTGACGGTTTAAAAATGATCATTTCCTTTTATATTTCTGTTTCCCTTTTGTGATTCCCTTTCATTTTTCTTGCTTAATTGAACAATTCCTTTCATTTTCCCTTCTAAAAATCATTAATCCTTCCATATGTCATTTTCCCTTTTATGAACTCCTTTCAACTTGCAAGTTGTATAACTTCTTTCAAATCTCCCTTCAGGTTTATGATTATATAATTGCTTTCATTTTCCCTTTAAATTTCTTAATACATGTTTTGTCCTTAAAAATGATTACACTGTTATTTTCATGTTGAACATTGAAAGTGATCCATTCCTTTCATTCATCCTTTGCAAATGATAAATTCCTGTGAATTTTCCTCTAAAGAAACAATATCAATTTATTCATTTTTCCTTTTTATGATTACCTTTCATTTCTCCTTTTAAACTTAACGATTCCTTTCATTTTCATTTTCATATTGATCATATCCTTTAATATTAAAACATCCTGTCATTTTAAAAAGAAAAAGTCATTGTTACAAGGGAAAATCAAAGGAATTGTTCATTTTCAACAGGCATATGAAACGAATCAAAAAAGTATTTAAAGGAACACAGAAAATCAATATTTGTTTAAAGAGAAAATGAAAGGAATTCATCATTATCTAAAGGAAATAGCAATCAAACACGTATGTCTAAAATGAAACAAACACCACAATAACCATTATTACAAGGACAATACAAGGAAACAATCATTTTTAAAATGGGAAGTAATTGTATATTGAAAAGGAAATCAAAGAAATAACTTTTTAGAGAGGAAACAAATTGAAAATATTAATCTCTTAAAGGGAGCCAACTAATCTTAATATGAAAAGTAAAGAAAACATAATCATTTTAAACTGAAAAATAAGTGAGCATAATCCCTTAATGGAAAGTAATCATGTTTAGAAGAGCAATGCAAATACACAATTATTCTTCAAAGGAAATATAAGGAAATAACCGTTCTTAAAAGGAACTGCACACCTTATGTCTGAAGTCTTGGGATGGACCATGGGGTCTGCAGTTTTGTTTTTTGTTTTTCAAGAACGTCGAGAAAACAAAAGACAATTCAGAGAGTCTTGGCTGACCCCCCCCTCCAGAGTCTGGAAATATTTATTTTTACGATGTTTTTGCCCCCCGTCTTTAAAATGATTCATCGCTTCCATATGTCATTTCCTTTTTTTGATATGATAATATATTTGTTTTCATATTCCCTTTAAAATTGATGATCTAATCCTTTCATTTATCCTTTGCCAGTGATTAATTCCTTTCATTTTCACTTTAAAATCTAGGCCTATAGCTAATGAAAAAACGTTAAAACTGCACTCCCAGGAGCTGCCGTTCTGATTAAACATGTGAAAATGTTATGTTTTGCAATATAAACACATGAAACAATGACAAATGCAGTGCTGGGGCGTCCCCAAGGAGGGGCTTGGACCACAAATGCGTTGGATAAATGTTTTGCTCGGGCGTGCTGCAAATTTCCAAGGTCATCAAACTTTCCACACAATTCTTTCAAATTTCCGCCAGAGACTTCTCAAATGTTGCAAGTTGCAGCGCGTCCAAAGTGACCCCTTCATCACACGTTGGATGCCAAAAGTTGAGAGAGTGTGCTGTGTAGGTGAAGGTGCGTGTAGGGTTTAATCAATTCTGCATTGTCATTGCGTCCTGTTGCGCCGGGTGCAGATCATGTATTTGGAAATTTGCAAGGCATATGGCATACTTGGGCATGACAGCTCATTTTTCCATACAAAGGTAGCTCCAGGCATCCACTGAATCATATACATACTACTCAGCACACTTGACTCATGACCCCTTAAGCAGTCAAGGCACCCAACATGGTATGTAAGCAACACCCTAACTGATCTACTCAGTTGGGACTTATGAACCAATCTTCAGAATACGTTCCTGACTGCTCTGCTTTGCTTCAGCAGGCGGATTGCCTTACTTTGGAGGAAGCGTTGGACCCGCAGAAAATCGCCACCAGGTCGGCTGATGAATTCGCCACCGGGTCGGTATAGGTTATGCAACTTACGTTGTGCTTGTTGAAACCATTTTTTCCATGTGTGAGTTTTGGAAGCTCTTGCCTGAACAAACCACTGTTTGGGCCGCTAGGTGCCAAGTGGGCCACAGACTTGGAGATCTGAAAGATCTACAAACGGAGCCTCTCCCCCTTCCATGTTTCCCTCATTCAGTGCTGATGTAGTTTTGATTCAGTATGGCTGCACAGGCTGAGACGCTGCAGTGTGCCGTTGGCCCCAGTGGGGCCTGTGGGTAAAGATGGGTAGAGGTCGTAGCATAAAATGAATGGATGTATGCAGCATACATCATCACAAATCCCTTGCCCCTACTGGTGGCAAGCAGAGATCCCCTCACGAACTGAGGCCTCGGCAACAATTCACCGGTTCGATTCTCTATCGAGCCTGGCTTCGTAGTAGAATCATGTGACATCATGTCCGTTTAAGGCATCAGTCACTGCTGGGATTTCTGGCCAAATCGATCCAAACATTTCCAAACCATGATTTAGCCAACTTCCCGAAACTCTCCCCCCTGGTTCTGTCGCTCCCACTTGCGTGACGAGCGTGAGGCCGAAGCGTCCAAAGAAGCGACTGCTGAGTGCGACGAGTGTGAACCGCGACGCCGAAGCCCGCGAACCGCCTCCGCTTCCACCGCTGAACGGTCCGCCTTAAGTGAGAAAGTCCCACCTGTGCAGGGGCCCGGGTTTGCCCGGTGCGGGCAAGAAAGAACAGCGTCTCTGGGTCGCGGGATGCCTGATTTTACGTAGGACATTCGTGGGGGTTCCACCAAAAGAAGCACCGTTGAAGCAGAAGATTCTCCAAAGAGAACCAAAACAAAGAGAACTTAGTAACGCTAAGAAGATTATCAAGAGACACAGGCACAGGAAGAACAAAAACAGAAAAGAAAAGAAACAGACAGAAGCGACTCTGCATTGACGGCAAGAGAGGAGAAGTGTGCAAAAACTAAGCATCATTTTCAAGAAACATATGCAATTCAACACACTTTTCTGGAAACTTTGTCCCTGGAAGTGTCCTATTTGCCAACGGTATTTTGGATCATGAGAAGAACACATCGCCATGTCGAACATGTCTGAACTGGTGACGGTGGAGCACGGGCGCGCCGTGCCACCCGTGCCCCAAATACAGCTGGAGATGCCCGAACCATCGTCCTTCAACATTTTCAAGACAATGATGAAAAAACATCTCTATGTCGCTTGGATTTGCGGTAACGGGTGAGAATTGCCATGCGTTGCAAGCTGTAGGTCAATCTTTGCCATGCACACTGCAAACTGATATGCCTGCTGGTGGTGCCTTCATTGCACTTGTCGCGCAGCCAAGGTTGCTCGGAAAAGGCGGAGGCTTCTGACCAGTTTGTGGCCCGCAGTGATGTACTGTTTCTTGGATTCTGGTGGAGCTACAGCTACTTTTTGCATTTTCTTCTTGTCACTGGACTCCCCCAAACTCGTGCTTGATAGGATTTGGTAGACTGGTAGATGATGTTCATGGCCTCCAATAAGTTTGATACAGGATGTTATCAACAGGCGGGGTCTTTGTAGTAGGTTGCTGAGGCCGTTGGATTTGGAGGGGCACAACAGCTGTGGCCTCGTTTGGCCTTTGAAGTCTTTCAAACCCACTGTATGAGGGTTCAGGACTTTGAGATTGCTGGTGCGTTCTGGTCTAATATAGATTCATGGGGTCAAGTAGATTCCTGGCTTACTTTACTTCTATATCATGTTGTACCATATATCATTATATTTACCCACTTTAGGGTGTAGATTGAGAGACCGCTGTGTTCTACCGTTCCCAAGCTCTACCCGGTCGATGTTTTCCCGCAGAGAACCATGACGACTTTTGTTTACCCACTGGTCCAGGTTTGGTCATCTAAATTCAATTATATAAATTCAGCATGTTTTTTTCAAAGAAGAACTCTGAAACATGACTACACCTGGGCACAATGGCCCAGGTTTGGTCAGCATCTTCTTATTTCATGTCTTCGCCAACATCGATGCCGGTGATGTTCGCGCCTTGGCCCTGGCTCTGACGGTGCCGCTCTACATGGTTCTCAGCGTGCAAGCTGCACTGCAGAATGCCATCGTCGAGCTGGTGACCGAAAAGGAATCGAAAATGAAGATTGCCCCTTAGCTTCAACTGAGAGGTTTTGGTGACGAGTGCATGGAATGAGGCTAAACATCCCCTCATGGACTCTCCAGGCGAACATCCCTCATCTCATTCCCATTCAGGTGCCAGCACCAGCTGTTACTTCAAAGCCGAGAAATAGCAGCACACAAACTGGAGTCAGCTTGTTACTTCCATATCTTTGCATATCTTTGCCACACCTCGTGTCGGCAGGTTCCGCCGGAGAGATTTCCCCCGCCACACCTCCGTGATTGATTGAAGAAGGTCTCGAGAAGTCTCGATGCGTTCGTCAGCATCCAGAAAAGTGGGACCAAGCCGCCAAAAGAACCAGCAGAATGCCTTTTTTTGGGGTGGGGGTGGGGGGGATATATGAACATGATCAGCTCAGAACGTCCTGCTGGGTGCTTTGCTGGGCAGATTGTTCAGGTGCAAGAGATCTATGGCTTGACACCGGTGATGTACTTCATCTCCTGGGCAGGCTACTTTTGCATCGTCGCTTTGGTCTGTGTGACGGTGATCTATTTCCTTTTGGGCATCATCGAGCCAGTGATGTCTAAGTCCAATCCAGTCTTCGTGATTGTCCTGCTGCTAGCGGCCTACATTCAACAACTGGAGTTTGCCGTGATCGTATCAGTGTTGCTCAACCGGGTTCAGACAGCCTCAGCCTTTTCTGGCTTTATCAACCTTGTGTTCCTTCTTATCGCTGAGGCGATGCAAGGATGGCTTCGAGGCCTACCAAAACTGTTGTGGTATGTGGCTAGCCTCTTGCCCACAGTGAACCTGTTTAATGGATTTGCCGTGCTTTTGTACAGCGAGGCCCTGTACTATTGCGATGCCTCTGGATGTTACCAAGGCATCTCAAGCAAGACGGCCTTTGTGAGTGAATTTTGCATTGCCCCCTACGATGAAGAGCACCCATGTGTGAAGGAATTCCCCGTCTTCTCAGCTGGAGAATCTTTTATCATGATTCTCTTCAATATCATCCTGTATGGCTTTATCGCTTGGTGGTTTGAGCAGGTGTGGCAGGGCGACTTCGGGCAAGCCAAACCCTGTCTCTTCTGCATTGACCCAGCCTACATGTGTCCCAGAAGGTCCAGAGCTAGGGAGCTGAACCTCAGCTTGGTCCAGGAAGATGCTCGAAGTTCGGCCATGAGTCTCCGAAACCTTCGCAAGGTCTTCAAGGGCGGCAAGGCGGTTCTTCGGGAGACGAGTTCGTCTGTTGGACCCGGGACGTCCTGCGGGACAAGGGGACCGTGTGCCGCCTTGGGCAGACCGTCTGCCATGTAGTATGATCAGGAATGAACATATGATAGCGGCTTTCATATGTGACGCACTCTTAATGGCCGTGAAAAGAGCCGCAAATCCCTAAATTGATAGTAGAGGCCCTCCATCATGAAAGAGCCCCCACTCGCATGACGACCCTCGCACAGTGGACCCTTTGTCAGAGGTGGCCGTGGACGGTATCGACCTGGAGATCCAGCATGGAGAGATTTTCGCACTGTTGGGCCACAATGGAGCTGGCAAGACCACGTGCATCTGGTCCAAACAAATGGCTTGATCAGGGAAGAACCGGTGGCATTTCTAATTAATGAAATTGGCGGCTTGATCCATTTGGGGTCACCATTTGCTGCTTGTGGTGATTAGGGGGCCTTTTTGTTTTCCCAACATGTCGACCTCACGGGGTAGGGTTCTGTAGTCTTCTTGCATCTTCTACCGATTTTTGAGCAAAATTTAACATTTTAGATCATTTTAGCATCTCCGCTCTCAAAGTGTTGGAAGTGGTCTGAAACCTATGTTGTTGTCCCCCAATCAAATGCTCTTGACTAAAAGCAATACAACACCTCACTGTTGGATCTTTTTCGGGGGACACCTCCTTCTGTGGTCTCCGGGTCGCATCGCCACATAGACATAGCCTCTCCGTGAGGCATCAACTGCGTGGTGGGTTTGATCCCCATCACCAGTGGGGACGCCACGGTCAATGGCCACGACGTGCACACCGAGCTGGAGGCCGTGCGACGGAACATCAGCGTGTGTCCACAGGAGAGGTGTGAGGGAAAGAGGGTGCTGGATCTATTGAAGCCCAAGAATCTCAGAGATGCATTTCTGGGTGCATGTGCCAAACCTGTGAGACCTATGTCCCAAACCAGGGCGCTGCGCCGAGCCAGACAGGGAAGGTTCCCACCCAAGGGCGAATCCATCAGAAAATATCAGAAATACAGTTGAAACCAGCTGTCACGGAGCTCTGCCCGAGGACAATCCGCTCTATGATGTCTTCACCGTTCGTCAGCATTTGATGTTCTTTGCCAGCTTGCGTGGCGTGGGTGAGCAAATGCAAGGCCCCAAAGTCATTGAAGTCCTGACAGCTTTGGGCCGCCTGCTTGCACTTAGCATGCTTGGTTGCCACCGATTCTTGGTCAATGAGCACCCAGAACCGTTCCACCAACACCTGGACCGATGTCCAAAGTCCCATGAACCGGTCATGTCCACTGCCGGTGCTCGGGTCCCATCGTTATTTGGAAGGCATTTGATGCACTTTGATCAACATGGTATATAGTTTGTATATATAGTTTGTTTGTTTGTTTGATTTGTTTGTTTGATTTGTATGCTTATATAATAGGTGCCCTGATTGGACAACCGCCGGCCGCCATGGGACAAAGCACGATCCGCATCAATGTATCCCACTTTTGGCTACTCTTTTTGTATCTTGTTGTTGGTGTCGTTGACTCAGGTCAGTCACGGGACCCAAGAAAAAGCAGAAACCCAAACGCAGAACATATCACCTATATTTATAATGCATCTCAGAATCGCTTCCCAGCGCCTCAAAATCGGGTTGGTAGGTATCCCGGAGAAGGTGGACGATCTTTGCACCACCTTATCCGGGGGTCAAAAGCGGCGACTTTGGGTGGCCACCGCTCTCTTGGGCGAGACGCCGCTGGTCTTCTTGGACGAGCCAACCAGTGGCATGGACCCCTCCAGTCGACGACAGTTGTGGGAACTGCTGCTGAGGATGAGGACCTCAGGCGCGAGAGGAGGCTTAAGGCTTACGCCTGACAGCCGGGCACCGGCCGGCATGAAGGGAAGAGGTTGTTTGTTTTCCTTCCCCCTCTCTCTTTGACTCGCTCTCTGTGTCATTCTGTGTGTCTCTCTCTCTCTCTCTTTCTCTGTCTGTGTCTTCTTTCTTTCTCTCTCTCTCTCTCTCTCTCTTTCGCTCGGTCTCTTGTTGTCTTTTCTCACTTGGAAGAGGGAGAGGAAGAGCAAGAGAATAATAGAAAGCAAGAGAAAGAGGAAGAGGAACAGGAAGGAGAAATAGAGGAAGAGAGGAACAGGAAGAAGAAAGAAGAAGCGGAAGAGGAAGAGAGGAATATATAGGAACGGAAAGAGAAAGAGCAAGAACAAGCAGCAAGAGGAAGAGACAGGGGCCGAGGAGGCAACGAACAGGAAGAATAACAAGAAGAGAAGAGGCGAGGATGAGAGGCAGCATAAACACAACATGCTGATAATGCAAGGCAACTCGGGCAGCATATATCGCACCATTGGCATTTGGAAACCACTTCAAACCAAACATAGCAAGGCCAAACTACACACAAAGAAAACAGTCCCTTTGTGGTCGGCGATGGGGGTGTCCACTCTTTTAACCTTGGTGAAGCCGGCAAGGCCATGGGGCCGGTGCCCGGTTTTGAAGGATCAGATCAGAGTCGTTTAGTTGGGATTGTGGTGTATGTGATCCGCAGGGTCATGGGATTAGATAAGGCAATTCCGCAATTTGACTCTTTGCTGTTGTGAGAATCACCTGGCTCGGGATCCAAAAGAAAAGCGAACTGACCGATGGGAACGAACCCATCACGTTTTGTCGCCCTTTCCTAAGATGCTGGCGAACTCTGCCAACAGCAGTTCGCTGGAGACGAAGTGGGAAGCCTCTTGTGGGAGCCGAGCTGTTTTTTTTCCTGAAGTTTGCGCACCTGCACCAGTCAGTTGGGACGTTTTGGGACTTACAAAAAGTCACCCAGGCCTAAGCCGGTCCGCATCCTGTGTTGGGCGTCACATTCCTCCCCTCGTTGAGGCCGCTCCATCATTTTCACGACCCACTACCTGGAAGAAGCCGACGTCTTGGCGGATCGCAAAGCGGTCTTGGCACGGGGTCGGGTGCAGGCGTGTGGCACGTCAAGAGACTTGAAGCTTCAATTTGGCCTTGGCTACTTACTCCAGGCGCACATATGCGCACATGCCAATGAGTGCAGCACAGGGGTGGGGAATTTGGAGTGTCGCGGGTGGTGAATGTCGTGACAGTCCGAGAACCTCAGTTAGCAGATCCTATTTGATCTTATGACTTGCGGTGTGGCATGCGGTTCTCGGCACCTGTGTTAATGGCATGGATGAAAGGTGCGGCGAAACGTGTAAATGACCAACACAAGAAAACACAATTTATAGTGCCCATGGGAATTCCATGAGGCGCAGGTGTTTGTCCCATACCGTCTTGGGTCCTGCTATGTCCTGCTGCGGATCCTGCGTGATGTCGTTTCCCTACTATGATATGGAGCTCATTCGGCATGACACGGGGAGGCCAGCCACAGAAATGACTCAAGCCACCTTGGCCTGCCAGGTGCAGTTCAGGGATGGTGCTGACGCCCAGAACTTCCAGGCAGGACATCATGAACGATGACCCAAACAGAAAAAGTTATGGCTGAAACATGCACAAACATAGAGCGAGTCAGAAATTGATGAAGATAAGTCCAGAACGGACACTCATTTAGGTTCTGACACGACTCCACTTTTCGTGCTTCATTCTTGTATATAATCATATTTTACTCCTGGTCCGTGGTGTTCAATTTAGTGTTGCAGCTCCAGTGGTGGCTGGGGCAGCACTTGTCCAATCACTTGATCAAAGGGTTGCATCGTGCGAATTGCGTTGAGTGGCTGCCAGTTTTGCCACTGAGCGTGACGGTAATCAATACCGCTTGATGTGACCAAGGCCAAAAACCAAAGCAAACCTTAGCATACGATTGTGGCATTGTGGTATCTATATCATTATCTAATCTAAGCTTACGTATTATTGTGAGTTTTCACTTATTAATTGTTTTTTCAAGGAGCCCAAAATGCCTCAAGCTGACAAACTCGGAATCGGTCTCAATTTGGAACGCGGGCACGTTTTGGAGGAAATTCGTATAAGCGATTTTAGCTGACCCCCCTTTCTCCACACACCCGTCGTTGAGCCTGCAGATGTAATATTGCGTGTGTTCCAGCATGAGCCAATTTATGTGTTCCAAAATGAGCCCAAACGGACAAAACCAGTGTGTTCCAAATTGAGCCAATTTGTGTGTTCCAAAATGAGCCTCCTCCCTCTTCCTATCACATAATCATGCTAACAATACTATTGGTTTGTCCTTGGTCCTTCACGGATGCAGGAAAGGATATATTAAAAGGATAGAATATATCTGCCAGTCTTTATTCACAAGGGCCGCAAGAAGATCACTTCCTGAGTCCCTCGGTGTTCACTGCTTCGTTCTATTAATATCTATCTATATTTTTGTGTATACTGGTTCACGTGTATTTTTGTCCCTTCAATTTTTGCATAGTTTGTTCTGCTTCGTTCCTGTTGAGTTTGTTTTTCTAACCAAGGGGCCCAGAAGCTCATATAGAAACCTGCGTTGGCAATGACAGTCAATTCTCCTGCAGTTGAGCTCAAGTCTCATTCTGAAATTTCGCGAGTTGGGAAAGAAACAACTTTCCTACTTAAAATTCTTGAGAACTTCATCAGAACGTCCATGCAGTTGCCAGTTGCCTGTGCTTGTTGGGCCGCCCTCTTCAGCAATTCCATGTGTGACGGACTCTTCCGGGAAAGGGTCTCACTTGTGACGTTGTCCGTGTGTGCCCGTATGCCCGTGCGCCCGTGTGCCTGTGAGGAGGAGGAGTAGTAGTAGTAGCAGTAGTAGTAGCAGTAGCAGTAGAAGAAATAGTAGTTTTGAGTAGTGGTATTGGTAGTGGTAGTAGTAGTGGTGGTGGTGGTGGACTTTCTCCGGAACCGCAGGACGCCTCCAACGTGATCCTGACGCACATTCCCAGTGCCACCTTACGAACAGCAGAGGACTCCTCCGTCTCCTCTGGGTCGGCCACAACAGCTGCTTGGCACCCGGCCAGGCATGGCCGGGCAGGGAGGGCACAAACGGAGAGCACGGTTGGTCCGCAGGGGTGGGTGATGCAAGGCGGCCAGATATCATGAACCTGGCAGAATAGATCTGAATACAGTTAAATCCACCGTTCGATGATTGGACAAACTGAGAAGTAGGTTCATCAACTGACTTGTCATGTTGGATCCTCTCTCTCTCTTCAATTTGGGTTATATATATATATGTACGGGACAATAAGTATTTTTGGATCTGTTTTGGATATATTTATATAGACACCTTATCATATATTATGCATATGCATATGTGTTACATGGTGTCTATGGTCAGAACCCTCTTTTTGCCCAAGTAGTGAGCAGCTCGCCTTGAGGTGGATTGGCAAACAATGGGTATACGGAAGGGGGTTGGGGAGGTTCTATTTCGATGTTTGAGTTACGGCAATCTGGAAGGTGAGACGGCACTTTCAAGGCCTTCCAAGAGCCTCTGTCTAGAACAATGCGAGAGTACATTCGACCTGACCTGAATTGACTCCTCGACAAAAGTCACTCACAAGGAGCGGCAACCGGCATTTCAATCCGACGATGCCCATTTGTATAGATCGATAATTAATTAGACATGATCTTTGGACCAAGGCGTGAAATGCCGATGGTTTGTAAAGGATTGAACGATTGGAACAGATCAACCACTAAGTTTGAAAAGTTGTACTAAGTTTGAAAGGTACATATTTGTCATCGGATACAGCTGTAAGTGTAGTAATCTGCAATTGTAGCTGTATCAGTTGCATTGTAGCTGCCTCTTTACGCCTATTTTGCAACTCATATTTCTCCACTCCAGTGTGAGTGTTCCAAGCAGAGCGCTCTGAGGATCGCATTCTGGCATTCACCCTTCCCTTCGAAGAGGCCCAACGCGTTGGATGGTCATTACATTCGTTTGTCAAACAAAGGTCCCGCCCTTCCGTTCTGCAAACTGATGTGTCCCGCGTTCACCGAGATTGCGGTGGGAGTTGGTCAGACCGCGACTTCTCGAAGCTCCCGTGACGATTTCCCGTGCCATCTCCGTTCGGCTCATCTCCACCGTTCCACTTGTAGATGCCTTTGTTGTGGCAGCGCCTCAGACGCTGTGACCAGAACAACGCTTCATGTTTTCCCTTTTGGTGTGCTGGCGAGCTCATGCCACGTGTCAGAGACATTCAGAGACTGTCAGACTGTCAAGCACCATCCATCAGGATAAGTCACAAGTCAGGACTCGATGCTGGGTGGCCGAAGGTTGCTTTGTTCAATGCATCCCTTTCTGAGGCTGAGCCAAACAGGTGCAATGTCCCCCGTGTTTTCCGGTGCGAATTCCTTGAGGCCCAAAAGCTTTTGGTGTTCAACGAACTTGGTGCCCCAAAACCTAATGAATTGAAGATTTCTGATCTAACACAGCTCTCCTCTCGCTGGCACTTGCAGCGCGGTAGACGGTAAAAGCTCCCTTTCAAATCTCGCGGCTCGGGAGCCGCGGCGGTCCAGACTCGACCGGGTCGAAGCGTCGGGGCGATGAGGTGCCCAAGTTCGGGCCCATGCTGATGGAGCTCGACCGCAGCAAGCAGGTTCGGTCTGCGGGTGTGGCTGCGCCGAGAGGTTCGGAGCTTTGGCGTCTGAAAACGTCTGAAATTCTAAGAGAGTAGCCTGGCATGGGGATCTGAGATGGTATCATGCTTGCACATTTTTTGCGCTAGTTTATTGGGCGGCATTGATGCACACATGGAATGGACCTTTAACGGTTGTGTTCGGCTCGCGTCACCTATGTTCAACCCACTTGCTTCGCAGCCATGCACTACTGCGACAGAAAGTTGGCTTCATGAGTTTGGCTCTTTTAGTCGCCTAAACTTTCTTCACGGCATGTTTGTAGGCAATGGCCCATCCAGGTTCACCGTTTTCCCCTGGGGGTCAAAGCTAATGGTGACAGAGCCGTGACTTGCTGCTTGGCCGCTCGGCCGCTCGGCTCAAGCCTTTGGCACAGCTGCCTGGCCTCAGCACTGCGCACCTTCCCGGATCAAGGATGACACCGCACGTCCTGTTCTATTCCGCACGCGCATGCGGCACGCGTGAACGATGCGTTGGGTGGGAGAGAATGATAGAAACATATGATGAAAGATGTTCTCCAAGGTGAGTGTTGCGTCAGGAGTTTGTCCAAACATGTGTTTCGCCCGCTGGTGAGATAAAGAATCTCTGCGGTGTTTCTCTGCTGTTCCTTTTTGAGAATGTCCTGCCGGAATGGGAGGAGGGTTGACTGGAGGCAACCTGAAGTGGCATAGCTTTTTCAAAAGATTTTGCCCTTATGGTTAGAGCTTTGGTGGTTTGCTCTTAAGTTTTTGTTGCGGCCACCAGGGGACCTGCATATATGCTGAAGCAGAATTACATGCTTTGGCTGAACATTACACGCCAGTAAGAGGAACTGGATCAAACGGTCCAGAATGTTTCTCTACATCGTTTTGCACGTCCAGAGAGTCGCGGGTGTGTCTCAGGAGCCATGGACAAGACCAAGAATGCCATGAGCTGGAACCTGAGATTCCGGAAGAGAGGCCCCTCCAACAGGTTAGCCCGTCAAGGCTCTCCCTGCCCCAAGCCTCAAACAAGCAGACCCTGTCGAGTACGGCCGAGGTCCTGAGGAACAGCTGGAGGATCTCCAACGACGTTTCACTTTGTTGGAGGGCGAGCGCAAGGTGCACTGCTTGGCTGGTTGAGGGCAGTGCAGGCGGTGCAGGGTGGAAGATGGCAGGTGAGCATGGTGCCGCTGGGTCGCTGGTTTCTTCTCCCCAGAGTCCGATCGGGTCCGACCGCAGATCTTTTTGAACAGATGAGCTGATACTGCACTACTACTGTACGAACTGAATTGTTAATTGTTCATGCCATTCTTGTGGGTTTTGACCAAGCACCAGCACTACCCAAAGGGTATAGACCGCCCCCCCCACTGTACTCCTTGGTTTACCATACGGTAAGTGCATTAAAACTTGTTGCATTGTTTTTTTGGGGCTCCCTTGTACTACTGGCATTAGGAAAGCCACGGAGGAAGTTGCAGTTCAGAGAGACAGTGGTTGGGAGCGCCGTAGGGCAATGGCCAAGTACCAATCCTCCTCTTCAACAAGTGACTAACATGCACGTCATAGAAGAATATTGGTGTATAGTACAAGACCTTCTTCAAACAGTCTGTGACTGGCCGCGGTGCAACCACTGTCACGTTCAAAAGCGCTCCCCAGCAGTCCCTTGCATCAATCAAGGAAAAAGACACATTTGGGCACGCTTCGACCCCCTGGAATTGCCATCGAGGTCGGTGGGATTCGGTGGGACTTTGAGTTTGTGAGGGTCATGTCCCAGTCCAAGAGTCTCTCAAACACATGGGGGTCCGAAAGCACTTGATTCGCCAGACGCCCCGGTTTGGTGCAAAGCCCGAAGCTCCGAACCCGCGAACCCGCCGCCTCGGCCTGGGCCCGTTGCGGCCGAAAGGCGACCTATGAGACGGCAAAGCTGAACATTCAGCAGAACAAGGAGAGCATGGGCTCAGCTCTTCTTGGGCTCGTTTTCAGAGCGAAGGATGAGTGAAGGGTGGTGTACCTAGACACCAGCCCTGTTTGGGACTACCATCTTGGTCAGATCAGTTGGAGTTCATTTGGAGAGTCTTTCTGGGGCGGAATGTATTCCATATACAAGTGCTTTAGGGTATGTGACCAGATATGACCAGCATGACGGACCGAGTCACCAGCACGGCGTCGTCTTTTAGATGTGAAAAGAAAGGACTCAAACCACACAGCCCAGCAGAGATGAACAGAGTCAGTGTTGGACATGTTGGTTGCTTTCAAGAGGTGGCAGCTGGAGCTACTGCTCATGACTTTTGAGTGAATGCCTCAACATCGGGTGGGTCTCTTCATCTGGGGTCTGGGGTCTCTATAAAGTTTGGCGATGTGTCCCATGAATTCATTGGGCTCCGGAGGTTGGGTGGTGAATTTTGCGGACACGTTTGCCACCCCAACCATCGTTGGAGCTTCCATGAACCTACTAGACCCTTTGAGAGTTTATGTCCATCTATATAATATGATGTCTATTTTCTGACGATCTCTACTCTTATACATGACCAAGTCTTCACTCATGACATGTTTGGTTTTCAGGCATGGCATGAACGCCACGCATGCCACCTGCAGATCCCATTCGTCCATGGTGTTTGGGTGGCGGGCCTGCAGCGGGCCTGAAGTGGTCGGCAACGGTCGTTTGGCGCAGGAGATCATCACACAGATGAAGGAGGAGAACAAGAGCTTGAGGCCCTCTAACCCTTGATAGCGCAAGACGTCCTTCACCATGTCAGTCTACTGACCATTCGTGCTAGCTGGGATGTGTGTTCCGTGTTCCTTTGGGGGCATCCAAGAGTGCTTGAGAATTTGTTGGCGCCTTTGACTCTGCCAGTGAACGTCAACAAGTTTGAAGCTGTTGCCCTAGTGCAGATCGCAAATGAAGCTTAGCTTTCCTCCAGCAGAGATGTGATTGATAGGATCAGGGTGCAGATGGGTTGCTCCCCTGAGAGGCCCTATAGGCATCAACCTCCAAACCTGCCAGAACTCTCCAAGAAAAATGAATCATCCGAATGGTGTCCCTAAGAATTCGTCCAACCTTCAAACGAAGAGTTCAAAGGCCTGGCAGCCCGCTGGGATTGGGGGCACGAGTTTCTTTGCTCCCCACGGCTGCTGAGACCTTCGTGCGACCCTTTGCCCATCTCGTGCGATGTGTGGAGGAATCAAATCGCTGTCCTGAGAGATGAGAAGCCCTTGTCCTTGGAGAAGACCCTGGAGGAAACGATGACTGTGGCCCCTTGGCACAGCCTTGGGGCGGCGCCTCATGAGAAGATGCTAATGCTAGTAGGCTGTGATAAATGTTTCAGTTGTGATCCTTCGGGGCATTTGCCGTGGTGATTTCAATGTCTTGGCAGAGGCCCCACTTGTGTCTGTCAGGTTGGCACCTGTTGACATGAGGCTGGGGATAAACCTGTGGAAATGGTCAATGCTTCGCATGCTGTTCATGTTGGAGGACCACTATACACCTGCGGCAAGCTATGGTTTAGCGCTGTTCCACCTCCCTGGGCTTCATGGTGGGTTCTTTGTAAAGGTGGGCTGAAGCTGGGAGGACCAGAAAGGCTCCATCAGAACCTGTTGTGCAGAAAGGCTGGTTGCATGATCATGCTTCTTGTTACATCTTGTTACTAGTAGCGATGGCCTCCGAGCTAATAGCGATGGCCTCCACCTGATATCACCTAATAGCGTGCTTGCTACTATAGTACAGTAGCCTGCCTTTTTAAATCTTTGCATCAAACAATATCAAACACTACGCGCGTCCGCCAACACCAAAGGGCTGGTGCCCACATGGAAACCACCTTCGCCCCCAAAGCCTGGCTCCGACCTCCGTTTCGTTGAGCTCTAGACCTTCTGAGCAGGCAATCGGAAGGTCTATATATATATATAATATACACAGGCTTTTGTCATGACCCGAGCACTCGACCATCACCGAGTTTTTTGGTGACCACTGGAATCAGAGCTTTGAGGTCCAAAACTTGCAGCGAAAGCTGGGGGCCCAGGGCTGGCGTGTTTGCACCAGCTGAATCATTGAATTTCAGGCTCTGATTTGGTACCACATGCATGCACATGCTAAGTCAGGAAATGAAACAAGCTGCAACACTGGCTTCACAAATCCATGCGTTTGGCTGCCAACTGTGGTTTCAGTTATGCAGCACCGACATCTAGGTTCACGTGCACTCTGATGACAGCAGCATGTGCTGCTGAGGTACGACCTTCTGAAGAACGAGAGCCAGAAAAAGAGAGAGTACTTGGATCAGCCCGGGCCTGAAAAACCACAGGTGTTGAACATGTATGTTTGATAAGATCGCACCAATGGCCCTGATCATGGTCCTTCGGTTTGGTGATCCCCCAAAACTGCAATTGGTTTGGTGATCCAGTGCGTACCTCACTCCATGGCCGCCACGTCACTCCATGGCCGCTAAGAAGTCTTGACAACATGCGTCTTACAGCTTTCCAGTCGACAACTTGACTGATGTTATTTGAAGATCACCTGACAGGACTCAGAATATGTCACTGTCTCAGCCAAGGAGAACAGATTAACATAGCGTGGAATACGATGGGTTCTTTTTTCGGTTCCCGGACAGGCCCTGGAATGTGGGCAGATGGGAAAGCCTTATCAAGGTGTTCACTTTGATCCTTGCTGTAGGCTGTTGAATAGTAAAGCCCCCATATGGATATCTCAAACACTGTAAAAACAATTCTTATGATATGGGAGAATTATATAAGTTAACCGTCGACCTTCCATCAATCGAACGTGGGAGATGGATGGTTTTTAGGAACCCACCCACTGTTGCTGCCAGCTTTTCGGCTGCTCAGCTACGGTCGCGGTGGCCGACGGTTTTGGCGACCGGGTCATTCCGATGGACGACGACGACTTCCCCGATGACGACTTGTCAGAGACGCCCGAGTTCCCATTGCCAGAGGGCGTCTCCAAGGAGATTTTGACCGAGGCCAAGACGTCCGAATGGAAAAAACCCAAGATGGGAGACGAGGTGGCTCGGCTTATGCCATACCATTTGTTGGGGTGTTGCTACGCCCTTGATGGACACCCGAATTCCAACTTCAGCATTTGAACATTTTGAACAGGGAACTTTCTCACAACGGTGTTTGAATTTATTATATTATAATCCCTGTGCCAGAAACCTCTATAAAATCTAGGGGGTCATGGTATGGCATAAAACGTTTTATGAGATGGTCCCCTGAGGGGGTTAGGGGATGATTTTATAGAGAACTGGGTGCTTGATAGGAAGGCTGCTAGGAAGGGCACCCGAGCTTCATTGTGGCACTTGTGCTTTGCTGGCTGGGTGGGTGGTGGGGGCAATGCTTCATAGGAGAAGTGTGGGCCTAAGCTTTAGCCCCACCCCTGGACATGCAATAAAGGTGTGATAAAGTGTGTCTTTGGGATTTGCCTTGTTGGGGAGCCCTGC